AAAAAAAAAAAAAAAAAAGTGTACTCAGCTATGGCTCGTCTGAGATGTCTAGTACTAAGGTCCAAGGTGAACTTGGTTTTACTGATTTCTCTCAGGTGTGATTTTGTAGAATAACTGATAGATGATTCCATAGAAGAAAATTTTTACTAGTATGTTTCTTTTTTAAAAAGTTACATGACTAGAACTTGATCATCATGAAAAATTAGAAAGTATAAACAATCAGAGATAAAATAGTCATGTTTATGCTACTCAGAGATAACCACTGCTATGATTTAAATGTATGTTCTTCCAGATTTGCCTATACACATATGTTTATATCTAATAGTAATGAGGTTAGATAATATATCCTGCTTTTTCACTTAACACTATTACATGAACCTCTATTTTTGTTAGTAGTCACCTGTATCATCTTTCCATAGTATCACAGTAGCATATTCTAAGAATGGACCAGAATTAACCAATTCCCTATGATTGTTCATTTAAGTTGTTTCTCATCTTTTGTTCGATCACAAGCACCATGCATGTCCCTGTTATTGGAAGAGATGTGTAGAGCTGGTTTTTCACAAGGAAGCCTCAGGCATTGGACAGATGTGTCCCCAACCTTGGCCCTTCCAGCAGATCCACTATGTGTCCTGCTTCTGCACTGGCTCTTTCAGTGACAGTCTAGGAGCCTCCAGGGAGAGCCAGTGAGCAAGGGTTCAACTGGCTCTGTTTCCTCGCACTTTTCGCGTGGTTATTACATGTCATCTGTTTTTGATGATCATTTGGCTTGTTTTCACCTTTATTCATGTTTACATTATCTCACTGACCAAACACTTTCCAGCAGAACCTAGAAGGAATGAAGCGGGGGCTGGCGCAGAGGGGAGCAGGGGGAGGACAAGTCAATGAGTACTTTACCTTCTGTGTCTAGATCTGCAGATTTGATGCTGTCCTTATTATTATTAATTATTATTATTATCTGAAGTTCCTGCTTTATTTAAATTTCCCTAGTTGTTACCTGGTGTCATTTTTCTGTCCCAGGATCCCATCCAGGATAACCTATTACTTTTAGTCATCAGCTTTACTTAGACTTTTCTTGGATGTGACAGTTCCTCAGACTTCCCTAATTTTTGGTGACTTCGACAGCTTTGAGGAATACCTATTAGGTATTTTGTAGAATATCTGTCAATTGGAATGTATTTGATGTTTTTCATTATTAGAATGGGGTTACATATTTTTTGGGAGGAAGACTCCAGAGGTAAAGTTCTATTTTCATCACAAAATATTAATTTTTATCACATGCTAATGGTGTCAACCTTGAGCTCCTGGAAGAAGTCATGTTTACTAGATTTCCCTACTATAAAATTACTCTTTTATCTCATATTTTTATTTACTTATTTATTTATGAGAAGGAGTCTTGCTGTGTCACCAAGACTGGAGTGCAATGGCGCCATCTTGGCTCACTGCAACCTCCACTTCCCAGGTTCAAGCAATTCTCCTGCCTGAGCCTCCCGAGTAGCTGGGATTACAGGTGTGTGCACCACCATGCCCAGCTAATTTTTGTATTTTTAGTAGAGATGGGGTTTCACCATGTTGGCCAGGCTGGTCTCAAACTCCTGGCCTCCAGTGATCTGCCCGCCTTGGCCTCCCAAAGTGCTGGGATTACAGGCGTGAGCCACTGCACTCAGCTTGTCTCATACTTTAGTCTGTACTCTTTGGAAGGATGTCACTTTGCCCAATCCATACCAAGGGCTCCTTCTCCTTAAGGGAGGTGTGTGTATGCAAATTATTTGTAATTCTCCTGTATAAGATGTATAAGATATTTTTCTATTCTCCCACAATTATTTATTTATGCATTCAATCATTTATTTATATCAGTGTGGACTCATGGATATTTATTTTACACTTTGGTTATAATGCAATACTGCCTCATTTATTTTGTTGCTCAATTTGATTCAATTTTGGTCATTCAGTAGATCTTTCATTCAGGGCTCCTTTGTCTATTGTGGTATTCGTTTTTTTGTTTGTTTGTTTGTTTTTTGAACACTTCAAATGTTCTGGCTCTACAAGATGCTTCAGGTGCTTCTTGTATATTTTGTGTCCTAGTTCTAGACTCAGTCATTTCTACAAGAAGCCCTGGTTTCTGCTATTATCAAATGCCTTTGGAAACGAAGATCAGGGTAGTAGATGTGCTTATTGCTGCTGAGACTTCTAGATTTGTAGTGACTTCATCGGTCCTAGACCCCCTTCCCTTCAGCTGATAGAGCAAGAAAATATATGTATGAATGCCAACTCATGTACATACACATATCTATAAATATTTTTATATATAATCACCTGTATCTCTATTAAGCTAAATATTAATTCATAGTGATATCTCCAAGTTCATTACCACATGGACCATTCTAACCTCCTCCAACATTTCTCACCATCCACCCTCTGTTTACATAATTGTAGAATTCCAGTATACAGGTAGAGTGGTCTGAGAATTGATAACCAATAGCCCCATGGGAAACAATTTTATGAACTAGAATAGGGTGCTTGTGTACAGCTTCTTTGGCCTTTAGTCTGCAGATTCTGTTCATATACAAGGTTACTTTGATGACCATCTTGTCCCCGACTCTTCAGTGAGGTTGTTTCCTACATTGGCAATGCATTTACATTGTCTTGTTACAGTTTGCATTTCATTCTAGGATTCCTCTGACCTCTTAGTTTTTTTTTTAATTTGCATACATTAAGGATTATTCTATGTGCTATAAAGTTCTATGGGTTATGACAAATATGTCGTGTCATATATACACCACTACAGTATTGTATGCAAGAGTTTCACTGCCCTAGAAATTCCCTGTGCTTCACCTATTTAACCATCCCTCCTCTTTCCAAACCCCTGACAATCACTGATCTTTTTTATCATCTCTATAGTTGTGTCCTTTGAAGAATGTCATATAAGTGGAATCATATGCTATACAGCCTTTACAGACTGACTTCTTTCACTTAGCAATATGTATTTAAGATTCATTCATGTCTTTGCATAGCTTGATAGTTAATTTGCTTTTTATCACAATGAATAATATTCCATTGTATAAATGTATCACAATTTGTTTATCCACTCAACTATTGAAGGACATCTTGGTTGCTTCCAGCTTTTGGCACTTATGAATAAAGCTTCTACAAAAATTCATGTGTGGGTTTTTATGCGGACATACATTTTCCATCAATTTGGTAAACACCTAGGATACACAATTGCTGCATTACATGGTAAGACTATGTCTAACTTCATAAGAAATAGTCAAACTGTCTTCCAAAGTGGCTGTACCATTTTGCATTCCAATCAGCAAGAATGAGAGTTCCCATTGCTTTACATCCTTGCCAGCAATTGGTATTGTCAATTTTTGTAGATTTTAGCATTGTATAAGTGTGTAGTAGCATATAGTTGTTTTAATTTGAAATTCTCTAATGACACAAGTTGTTGAGTGTATTTTCCTATGCTTATTTGGCACATGTATCTTCCTTGGCGTGAAGTCTGCTCAGGTATTTTGCCCATTTTAAAATTGGGTTGTTTCTTTTTCTTGAGCTTTAAGAATTCTTTTTATATTTTGAATACAAAATCTTTATCTGTGTTTTATAAATATTTTCTTAGTGATGCACTTTTAATTAGCACTTGGGGATTGAGTACCACTTTCCAACACTAAAAGCTTACATACAATGCTAAATGCTATTAATGATCTACCTGTGTTCACCCTGTTTGCTTTGCTGTTCCCAGAAATGACCGCAACGCTTCTCTCACTCCCTTAACCCCATCCATTCATTGTCAAAGGACTTTTATGTACTGCAGTCCTCACTGTGTATCTCTAGAAATTTCTTTCCTTTGTTTATTTTAACTGAATGACCAAGGTGGTAACGTGCTTATTCATCTATCTGCCATAAGGTTTCCAGGGAGAATCCAACCTGCTTGTTTCCTGGTTTTGGAGGAAACAAATGGGTTTAGAGGAAGTTGCTCACAATATTTAGGTTGTGGCATGTTGTGGGTGAGGTTAACCATTGTCTGTCTTCCTTTCCATGGCCTCCAGTCATCAAGCCTCCTTTGCGTCATTTTAAACGCCCTGCTTATGCATCTAGCTCCTATGCACCTTCAGTCACAAAGAAAACTGATGAACATCCTGCAAGATATAAGATGCTGGATCAGAGGATCAAAATGAAAAAGATTCAGAACATCTCACATAACTGGAACAGAAAATAGGCCGAGGGGAAGAAGAGAGGGAGTGAAGGAGGGTCTACCTATCTGCTTCTCAGCACCCACTGGCCACAGCAGGACACACCTCCAAGACCTTGGAGGCTGTTGGGGCAGGTACTATCCTGGTTAACTCTACCAAGGTGAAATGAAAGTTGTATGTGATTTTCTTCTTTGTTGTTCTTGTATAGACTCATCAGTTGCTGGATGTGGGATCAGCCCAGACTCTAGCAACAAACTAGCAAGAGGGGTGTGTTTATGGTATAGGTCTCTAAAAGTATAAATTGGACCAAAATTAAAATGATACGAACTTAAAAAATAAAATAAAATTCCTCTCATTGCCACTTTTTTTCATCTCTAAAAGTTACTTGCCCCCAAAAGAATATTGGTTTAATAATCACCATATTTAAGAAATGCACTGCTAAAAACTTATTTTCCAATTTTAAATACACCTATTTAAAATGTAAATACACTTATTTAAAATTCAAGTAAATATGAAACTATCAAAGTAAATGTATTCAAAACAGAAGCTGTGCTTCTGAATGTAAAAATATTAAAAGGAAGAGAAGACTGATGAATTGTTATATTCATGGACATTTCAGAATTCACGCTTACAAAGCAAATCGAAGTTAAAAAAAAAAAGACTTCTGTGCCCCATGAAGATTGTGCCTCGTGCCCAATAACCTCATGTACCTTTAAGAATTTGAAGACTTTCAGGAGATGCATTTGGCTTCATTTTCCTCTAATCTTTTACTTCTACCCATAGTAGATGATACTAAAAATCTTGCCTTAAAGACTTCAGGTTTGAGAGTCAATGCAAAAGATGTCAGTTTGATTTTGTGGTCCTAGGCCAAAAGGGTGTAAAATTCTGAGCCTAGTTTAAATTCTTTATTTTCAGATTGTTCTGGACTGAAAATAAAGAATTTAAAGTAGGCTAGAGATGCCTTTAAGTTACATTTCAGATCCTCTTCACAGCATGCTACATATCTAAAGCCCTTGGGATCCTGATTGCTCTCACAGCTGTTGGTGGAATCCACAGCTTTATAACTCACCTCTTTTCATGGTGGCATTTTTAGCCCTTCTGTGTCTCTCCCTAGAATTTTTACTTTGGGGCTAAAATCACAGAAGTAGCAAGGAAAGGCTCAAGACTAGAGATAGCTTTCAGTCTCTTCAGAAATAGCCTGGTGCAGTGAGAAAACTAGGTTTGTTTTCAGGCCAGTCTGATCTGCATCCTATTCTATCTATAACTACTTGCAGGTCCCTGGTCAGATGGCATAATTTTTTGATGCCTCCATTTGCTTAACTAGAAACTAGGATTCATAATACCCACTCTGCACTTTGTATTGAAGATTAATGATAATGTAGGTTTTGGTTGCTGTGGCTGAACCTGGCCAGTAATAGGTGCACAACCAAAGTAGCTAAGAGCATTTCATAATCAGGATGAACTCTCCAGGACAGCCCTACAAGGAAGAAGCTGTTTGTTCCCAGATGGCCTCGACCTTCAAGGCTTGATTGTAAAGAGTTTAGTGTTGTCTCCTTCTCTCATTCCCTGCAGTTCATTTCCAATAAACCTCAGTTATTCAAGTTGAGCAAGTTCCAGAATTTAGTGCCCACCATGCTATTGAGCAGTTTATTTATAATACGCTTTATGATGATACTTCAGAGAAATGCAATTGCTATACAAAAAGAAAAATCATTGTGACTTTTTGTTAAGGAGGTGATTGCAATTCTTAACTCCCTGACTGGTGTCTGGGTTAGAAGACCCTTCTGCAGGCTGGTAGTGTCTATTCCATCTGGATTAGGTTAACTCAACAGGTAATTCCTATCTGTTTATAGACAGGTACTTTAGTGCTTGCTGCGCAAAGTTATTTGGCTACACAATGAGGAGGCCCATGGGAGTAGTAACCCCCTCAAATAATGTTCCCCATCTGTCTGTCAATACCTTCCATCTTAGGTACTGAGAATTTAATGAGGCTGTGTTTTCTTGGCTGTGCTTCTTGATGTTGGAAGCCATGCTCCCGGGGAAAAAACCTCCTGTATTCCTTTCTCCTAAGATGTGAGTTTTTTTCAACCTTTGCTAATATTTTAATGGAGCAAATGTACAGATGTTGAGATTTTGCATTGCTTATAAAATGCCTACCATATTTTTTGCATGATAGATTGTATAGAAATACAGATTATATTCTTACAGCAAATAAAAAGATGCTTTTAACAGACTTTCTTGTATGTGAGCCATTTTCTTCTCTGAAATTCCGGGATGTTAGATGTTAGCTAAATTTGCTGCTGTTCAGCCCTGAATATCTTGTCAAGGTGGACAGTATAACTTATCCATTTCAATTTTCTTCCTTATTGTATAGGTGATAGTTCATTTTTTAACCTTTTCCTCCCTATACACCCAGTAAATAAATGTGTTAATATAAATAACCCATAATCGGGGTTAGTCAGTAGGTAAGCACTTGTGTTATCAACTCAGTTTATATCATTCCAGACTAAGCTGTCTTGCTAGTGGTTAAGAATTGGGACTTTGTCCAGCTACTTGGTAGGCTGAGGCAGGAGAATGGCATGAACCCGGGAGGCAGAGCTTGCAGTGAGCCAAGATCTCACCACTGCACCCTAGCCTGGGTGACAGAGTGAGACTCTGTCTCAAAAAAAGAAAAAAAGAATTGGGACTTTGGAGTTTAGAAAAACTTACAATTAAATCCTAACACTGCCTTTTGTTTGCTCTGGGAGCTTTACTAAATTGCATAATATCTCTAAACTTTAGTTTCTTTAGCTGCAAATTGAGAATAATAATACCTGACTCATTATAGCACAGGGCTGCCCTTACAGCAAGGGTTCAATAAATATTAGCTATTATTTCTTGGAGACACAGTGGAGTATGGTAAAAAGAAGTTAGGCCCTGAGTTCAAGAGTAATGTCCGTTACTAATTCCATGACATTAGGTACATAATCTTAAACTTTAGTAAGAAGGAGTTAATTTCACCATGTATTTTCCCATTTGGCTATTCCCATAGGCACCAACTTCTGACATCCCCACCTCCAATAATTTCTCCACCTATATCCCCATGCCTTTGGCCTCCTTGGGCCTCCATCTACTGTGGCTGTCTCTTGCCCTCATGACTGACTAGGAGTCTCCCACCATCTCCCTGTGACTTACTTCCTGCAACCACTGCCCTTCACTCTGTCCCTATTTACCCTATCTCCTTCTCCACACACAATTGCTTTATTCTTCCAAATTTCCACTGACACAAGTCAACTGCAGAGAGCAGACTTTTCCTAAAGGTTTAGGATGATAGCGCAGCAGAATCAACTATTTAAAAATTTAAAAATTAGGGCCAAACATGGTGGCTCATGCCTGTAATCCCAGCACTTTGGGAGGCTGAGGTGGGTGGATCATGAGGTCAGAAGTTCAAGACCAGCCTGTCCAATATGGTGAAACCCCGTCTCTACTAAAAAATACAAAAAAATAGCCGGGTGTGGTGGCACATGCCTGTAGTCCCAACTACTCAGGAGGCTGAGGCAGGAAAATCACTTGAACCTGGGAGGCAGAGGTTGCAGTGAGCCGAGATGGCGCTACTACACTCCAGCCTAGGTGACAGAGTGAGACTCAGTCTAAAAAAAAAAAAAAAAATTAGACAACAGCGACCACAAAATATCAGCCAATCTCCCTTTGCGGAGGATTTCTCACAGGCTGTGGATTCCTGAGGCACAGATTTGTCTCCATCTTCTCGCCCTTCTCCTTCTACCAAGACCTTTCTCCTCCCCTGTTGCATTCAAATTCCTTGAATGTGCAGGATGGTCCACTTCTCATCCCCTACACCGCACATTTTCAAGGCACAGAAACTCACCACATATTTTCAGCACCACATATTTTCAAGACAGGTGAGCTCACCCTGACAAACAATGGGCACTGACTCTGGGTCTCACTCCTATAAGCACAAAAAACCCACAGCAGATTTGAAATGGCAGTTTTTCGCTTAAACAAAATCCAATCCTTAGGGCAAGACCAATCCATGTAAGAAAAGAACCCTACAAATAAGTCCTTTCCTCTTCCACCACCACCTCTCCTGCCCACCCCACATGACCCTGCCCAGGAGTTCTGCTTGTTTATTTTTTTTTCCCGTTCAGTTATAATATCAGCCTCACAAAGGTAGGGCAGTGACTTTCATTTATAGGAGCTTAGAGAATGAAATTCTCTTGTTTTCCTACCTTTTCCTTCTGCAAGCCAGTTAAGCCTTATCATGAGCACATCCACGAAGCTTTTGAAATAGAACAGACACTCCAGCATCCCTCTGTTAGGATTTCTTGTCCCTGCAGGATAGAAGGGGAGGGTAGAGATGGTTGATAGCCAGCATTTTTTAAGTCTAGGATTTTCATCCAAATCTCTGTTCCTTAGATGAAAGGCCACTTACACATCAGCAAGCTTTCAGTTTGTTTTCCCATTGGCTGCAACTTCACATGATCATTTATCTTCTCTTTGATCCATTTTCAATTTAAAAGAAATCTCTGTTGGAACAACATGCTGATTTATTGAGAGTTTGTCAAATTAGGTTGGAACTGGGGATGCCCTGGGACTGAGGGTGGGAGTGGGTGAAGGCTTCATGACTTGGCTTCCAAGCGTGGCCCTGATGTAGCCTCAAGTGCCCTCAGCAAGGCCAGTTGAGGCAAGAGAAGGCCCTGCATCATAAATGGTGACAGTAGGCCTTTGCTAGTGGTTTTATTTTTAAGACTGATCTAGGAGACTTATGAGTATTCATTATACTTTTGTTACATTCACAGAACATGAAAAGCTGCTTTTGGGGAATAACAAGTGATAATAACTATGGAATACTCTCCTCATCTGCATATTTTAACTTCACATGTTCATATTTTAACTGCATCTTTAACTCATGGTGTTCAACTTGGGTTCTCTGTGAATGTTCAATGGCATGCTTTGTTTTGTACACCTGAATAAGAGATTCAGCTGAGCCAAGCATATAGAACCACTTCATCTGGATCTCAGTCATTATGGAGACAATTCATTTATGGTCATTGCCCTTTAAGAAGCATCTCTCATGATTCACTAGGTAAAGGAAGATTCCAAACTTTTGTAAGACACAAAGGTAAAAGGATACTAAATAAATATAACAGGAGAGAAAAAAATATGTGATCGTGAAACTGCCTTTGCAAAATTATGACAGTAAGAGAAATCTGACATAGTTGACTCCCTCTTGCTTCTGATCTCCAAGCTGCCCTTAGTCATTCCTGGGTGTAGGCTAAGCTAACTTTGGGAGAAATTTAGTGTATAGTTTAACTTGAAAGGGAGGATGATAATAGTCCCTCCCTAAAACTAACCCCTTCCTTCCTCAGGGACCAAAAACTGCCTTTGTAAGACTGAAGAAAGGCCACAAGGACAGGATTATGGGAGGAGCCTGAACTCTGCTAAAATGTAGGCACAGTTTCTATAATCCTTTACTGCTCAGGAGTCATATGGCCAGAGGGCACAAGATTTGTGACTTCCCCAAGTGCTCCTATAGATAACATCACTATCGTCGAACCCAAGACTGATTTT